GAGTCTTCCTGACCCTGAAGGAATCGTCATCAACTGATTCGTCATGCCCAGATCCTCTCATAAGTCTCATATCCAAGATCTTTTTGACTGCCACTCTTCTCTCCTCCTCATCCTTACTGCAGAGCATTGTCTGCAGAACTGCCTCAGGATGAGCATACCAGGAAGATCTCACAGTCTGCTCCACAATCTGAACAACCTTCCTTGGCTGACTCCTCAGGGGCTCAAGCTGGAAGAGAACATGCCACCAATGGGACCTTGGGAGGCGATGACTTGACCTTGGTGTTGAACCAATTTGGCAAGTAGACACTCACGATGAATTGGACAATAAGTCTCAGGTTGTGAAGCTGGTTCCTTTCAGTTTATGATGGCGACCCAAATTCTGCAGAACCTGAAACCGTTGTGAGCCACCTAGAATGTGAGACTGGACCTATCTGCAGGTAAGCAAGTCTATCAGGCATGACCCCAGTTTTGATGGCACTGCAAATCATGTAATCATAGTACTGGTCAGTACTCAGGTCGTCAATGACAGTATGTGCAAGCTCAACGAGTGGAGGGCCAACTGTGATTTTTTCAAAGCTCGGATTTATTTCTAACTCAGTGGCAGAGTCCAGTATCTTGCCAAGAGGACCAGACCATCTGTTGTTTGAAAGAGTCTTGCCATCCAGCTCCTGGATCAGATGTCTAAGTGGCAACTCGTTGGTGTGGAGGTCACAAACAATCCAGACCAGCTTCCTCCCAATCTTCCGCTCTATCCACTGTATGACCCCCCCTTGCCACCCTGTGTTCGTGTTGGTGCTGTCCCTCCAATGGCCTGCAGGGTCTGGTCTACGTTCCTCTCTCTGAGCCAGTTCACAATGTTATCTGCCACTATCTCAGCTGGTTTCCTGATGTCATCTTTCTCTGGAGTGAAATGCCACAAATACTTCCCTTCTGGTTCACTGCAGCAGGAGTAGTGTTCCTCCTTCACCATGGCAGGGAACAACTTGTCAGAATCTCCAACTTTCATGAACACTTTAGTGTCATCCCTTCTCCCATCAAAGAACAAACAATTGATTCCATTTTCTCTTATCCCCTTATCAAAATCCTCTTCTAAGTTACTGACAAGTTTCTCCTGAGCTCTCCTTACTTTGTTATGATCTATCACCAGGTGAACATCATCAGGTGTTATCAAACCACCGTCAATCCAGGCAGCTGTTGCTATCTCTGCAGTTTCTCTGAGACCAGTGTGGTGTCGCATGCTGGCCAGAGCTATGCTCGGGATATCTTTCCTATTTCGAATCTTATGACTGGAAGGTTTGGGATCATTATTTTCTGGGTTAGGGACAAAGTCACCATTCTCCTGGTCAGCGCTCGGGATCAGCCATGGGGAATCATTAAACTCTGAATCAGCTTGACTCCAATCATGGCCTTTTTACCTCACCCTGGGCCTTCTCAAGTCTCTTTTCCTCGGCAACTCTTCTCCTCTTCTGTCTCTCTGTGGCAGCCTCCTGTCTCTTGGACTCCGGAATATCTTGGCTAGAAATCTTGAGAGCCTATGCTGCCAGTCTTCTCTCTCTGTGCTTTGACAAATGCCAGTTCGATCACAGGAATCTTCAGTTCACGCTTGCAAATACAGGAGATGTGGGCCTCGGTTTACAGTCCGATCGCATCCAAACTCAGGACAGAGAACAATTGGGCACTTGCAAGTAATTATGTCAAATAACTGGTCCAGTTGCTTGGCAAAGCTGTCCTTAACTGCAAGTTTTCCTCTCCCAAGAGAGATATCTCTTGCCTTTTCCCAACTGGCTAGCAGTCTCTCACTAATCATCTTCTGACTTGTTATGACTGGAGGCTTGAACTGAGCGTTAGCCAGAGTGTACTGTGCCAAGACAGCTTTGGTCATATCACTGGCAATGTCTTTGTTTGTGTAAGTTCTTAGGTTCTTTTCACTGAGTTGCCTGATTAAAACACCGTATCTCAAAGCATCTCTCAATGTAGGCAACTCCGACTTCAGGAGCTCTCTCCCAGACCCAAGATAGTGACTGAGATGGCTGGATTTTTGGTTCCTCGTCCCTGCACAAGCAGCCGCCATAAAATATTATCAACTTATAAATGCATCAGAATCTGAAACAGAAAAAAATATTGTTAGTTGGGTTGTTAAAGAGGCTGAAGTCAGAAAGCAATGTTCACTATTTAATTGTAATGCACTAATGCAGCTGTACGTTAGATTTTCGATAAATTTCACGCTAAAATTTACCTAGCAAAAGGTTGCAAAATATTGAAACTGAAATTATTTTCTGTTTATATACACTAAAATCTACCAAAAAAGTGATGGGCCATTAGTTTTAGCTGATCTTCCCTCCTATGACACACCCTATTGTAGTAGTATGCCTACCAAGAAATTGAAATATATGTTTAAAATTATAGTCAATTTCATTTTCATTCTGAAATAATAAACCTTGTATAGCAAGGGTGCGGGCTATGTCTAACATCATCACAGTTACTTCACACTGCCTCTGAAGGATTTTCTCTTTCTCAATTAACCTATTTTTTCTATTCTTATCAAGCGATCTTACGTCTGGCATCATCATAACTGTTCAAAATACAATCCACTGTGTTACCTCTTGCTACCAGTGTGTATGTGTCCTTTCTTGACCATCTCCCTGAATTTTTTAGATCATTATGACCAACTTCTGGCGACTTGACCAACTCGAGGCCAATCATTGGGGGAGACCCCCCAGTTGGGCCATCCCTGGATGTCGTGGAGCTTGTTTGCTCCGACAGTATCCCACCTGCATTGTCACTGACACCTGCATTGCCAACTCGAGTGGATGAAAGCTCTTATTACTGGTTACATATCAGAGGCAGGTAGAGGGAAATGATGAGCCACAGGGCGAGAAGCTGCTGCTTTCACCACAGCATCAGCACACTCATTCCCGTTTGTTGAAATATCTGGCAACTCCAGAGGAGTTATTGGGGGAGGCCGTATATAAAATTAATAATGGACAAAATTAACACCATTTAAGATACTGTAATTAATATTTTAGGGTAATTTGATAATTTTTAGGGCATTTCAGAAATATATTTTGGGTAAATATGTATGAGTAATGAATAAAGGACAAGACACAGGCTGCTTAGTTCCTCAGAGTCAGGTGTCATGGCGATGCTGAACAGACAGTAATGACTGCGTACCTTTCTGGTTCTTCAATATATTACCTTGTATTTCATACACAAAATTACTAAAAAAAAATCATAAAACTACCTACAGGCTATATGCAACCATATGCTGTAAATGAAATATAAATGAATTTCGTGCATAGACTTGGGCCCCATCCCTGTTATGTGAGCAAAAGCATTACACATGCATAGGTACAGTATTCCAAAATCTCAAAATATCCCAAATCCGAGACCCTTTCGACCCCAAGACACTTTTCTCTGGAACTTATCTCTGACTTATGAGGAGGACCCTTTGTATTACACGTTGAGTTCTGATAAAATTTAATTTTTAGGATTCAGGATGACATCTCCAAGGAATGACCCACCAACTAAACATTATTTGATTTAATATATTTCTATGTGATGGACCACCCACCCAGTAGATGTGCCATGAGCATTTTGTCCAACACTTCTGAAATGCCCCCCATTCTCATGCTCTAGATATGCCCCTGGATGCCATGGTATGTGAAAGCTCAATTGGATAGTCAGAGCTCTAACTATACCTTTAGTTCTGGAATAACCACTGAATCATGTCCCCTTCATTCAAGGCCAAGAGTACAGGGGGAAGGGACAGGCATTTAGTCAACCCGAGACCAACAGATTAATCCAACATGTCATTAGGAAATCATATCTGTGGATTCAAGGACCTGCTGCTAGTTTCCCAAGAGTCACCTGGCAGAAGACATCACCTAGAATAGTTGAACTGATCCAGAAATCCCTTTTAGAAAGAGTCCATTGCAAAGCAATACAGTACACCCCTAAACATCACAAAGGTTAGGTTACTGAAAACCCTGCAAAGTCCCAAAACTGCAAAGTTCGTACATGAAAAGCCCAAACTGCCAAAAAACAAAGAAAACACACTCCAGGTGTTCGAAATACATTACATTAAAATGGATAGAATAGTTAATGTAAAGCAACAGAGCTCACTATAAAGCAATAAAAATACTGTATGGTAAAATAAATATGCACACTTAAACCATCCTTTATGATTTCTTTTGCTCCTGACTGTCACCACTTACACCAGCCATACTGGTAGCACCGCTAGCCAGGCTAGCACCACCACTTGCACTAACACCTGCAGCACTGTCACCACTTGCACTAACACCTGCAGCAGTCACCACTTACACTATCACTATAATTTGGAAAAACATTCATAGAGTCCTAGCTTTGTCCCTGATAATTAGAGTCAACACTTATGTGATGGTGGTTCATATCTTGTCCAAATACTGAAAGCCTTTTCCATGTTACTCATAACAGGGTCTCTAAGATACTTTATCATGCTGGCAACACTCGTAACACTCAGGACAATGCACTTGTGAATCTACCTTTCTTCTTTTTTTATGTAGCAAATGCTTGACTCATTCATGCCATAATGGCAACCACAGGCAGCTTAGCTCATACCACTCTTCAACTTATCAAGTACGTAACTCCATTTCTCCACCATAGTCAGCACCTTCCTTACCTTGGCAGGCATGCCAATAGAGCTCCAGCAGGTGCAGGGCATTTACGAGGCATGGTGAGAGAGTAGGGAAAGGCGGTATGGATACATAAACAAAAAAGTTCTTTGCGGGCTGGCAGTGCAGGTAGCAGTGAGAGCGGGCAAGTGTGGAACTCCTTCGCGCCACTGCAGAGACCCCTTGTGGCCAGTACTGAAAATTGTCACACATGACGCACAACCTCCCTCCCAAAGCAACATGTAATGCAATCCGCTAAGGAGTGACGGATGAGATGTTTAAACCTCTGATGTTTAAGGGTTTACTGTACTACATTTTAAAACACCTTTTTTTTATTGAACATTCACTTACCAGACAAAAAAGAATATGCTTGGTGCAGGTAGTCAGAGTATCCTTTATTCTCAAAAAGTGGCATGGACACCTTCCACACAGCATGGAGGAGCCAACCATTTCCCTGCTGTTCAGCTGAGTTCCCCACCCAGAAGAAAAGGCAATACCACAGCAGCCCACGATGGAATTCCCATGTACCATCAAATTGTTCTTGGAACCCCACCATTTGCTTTTGAGTTGCACATAAACTACATAGCCAATCATCTGTTAGGAGAAGGAAATCATTCAAATTCTTGAAATACATATCAACATCCTATTTATGCAACAAATTCATGTTAAAACTACTGCAACTGTACATTAAATGACACTTAACAGTAAAAATTGTCCTCAGAGAATATAGAGATCATGTTTGTGGTAAATAAAACTATAAATTTACTTTATCAATGATGTAGTACACGGTCATTTTGGACTAAATTTCCACTGACCCCCAATTTAAAAATTATTCAACTCTTTCAGTGATATGTCAAAAGAGACAATATGTTGTTGATGGCAATGATCCAGTATCTCCACCTACTTGGTAGAATGTAGATATCTTAAAAGTAACCAAATAAAACTTACCCTCAGGAGCTTCCACCAACCCAGAGCACTTCTTGTTGAGATGAAACCATGCCCCCCGAGGACAGTTTTCTCTTCTGGCGCACTCTACAAGACCATCATTTAAGGGTTTCTTGCAACAGAAATAAAAGGGGCGCCCACAACGTTCTGAACAGGGTAAGCGTGCCTTTTCTCGAAAATTTACACAATCACCGAAGGAGCATTCTGAAAATTTGTTTAAATTGAATCCATCTGCTTTTGAGTAAAATACTGAAATATCAGTTAAATTATATATTTCTAATGACAATTTCTTTTATTATTATATTAATTCCATCACATTGAGAGAGTTTCACTATGTTCCATGACCTCATCTAATTAAATTTCAAGTACAGTTTGGAAAGTCACTGATGGCCTGCAATCCTGGTTTCTTGTTCCTTGAAGAGATCAGTAAAAATCCAGGAATTATCCACCTCAATCAATATCATTACTCATTCTAAAGCATATCTTGACAAGTCTGATGGGGAAATTATTGTCCAACTAATAAGATGTGAGAATATAATACACTTTTGAATGCTGGAGCAGTTCACATGAAGAGTCAACTTCATTTTTGTTTTACAGTACAGCATGCCCTTCAAATTGGGTTAGGTTCTCGAAATGGTCGCGAATCGCCAAATCCGTGAATAACATTTGCTGACCATGGGGATGGGGGTACATTTTTATGTAAAATTAAAATATATTCTCTTTATGTGTTTGCCCTTAGGACAATTATTTCTTTTACCTGTATTGTATATGTGTGTGTAGACACACACACAAAAAAAAACATAGAAATAAATACAGTTGGGTCTTCATTTACGCGGTCAATTGAACCCGTGGAGTACCGCGTAAAACGAGAAACGCGTAAATGAAATAACAGAACTTACGAGATTAATTGAAATAGAGACTGGGCCGACCCCCAAACTCCACTTTTTCTGACACAATACGTACGTTGTAGTAAAAATAGTATCTTAACTTTATGATGGTATGCACACACACATAATATAGAAGAGAAATATCAATAAGAGAATAATATACTGTACCAGGTAAAAGAAAAATCAAGGTTTAACACTTATGTTAGGTTAGGTTAGAAAAAAATCAAGGTTTAACACTTACGTTAGGTTAGGCTAGGTTAGAAAAAATCAAGGTTTAACACTTACGTTAGGTTAGGTTAGAAAAAATCAAGGTTTAACACTTACGTTAGGTTAGGTTTAACACTTACGTTAGGTTAGGTTAGAAAAAATCAAGGTTTAACACTTACGTTAGGTTAGGTTTAACACTTACGTTAGGTTAGGTTAGGTTTAACACTTACGTTAGGTTAGGTTAGGTTTAACACTTACGTTAGGTTAGGTTAGGTTTAACACTTACGTTAGGTTAGGTTAGGTTTAACACTTACGTTAGTAGAAGAGATGGGTCGGCATACGTTGATGGGGGCTGGTTCCGAGGCAGAGGGCAGATTACTGGCCCTCAGGTGAATCACCATCACTATCCACCATAGTTGTCAGGGCCTCCCTGACAAATCCCTCAAAGTCCATAGCGTCAATGTCACTATCACTGGCTTGGGCTGGCTGTGGTGGGTTGCGGGCTAAGAAGTCTGTGATGTTACGCTGACGGCTAGTGTTGATGTGCTCGTGATACATCTGGATGTACGGCTCCATAGTCTGCAACAGCTGGTTATTGAAGACTTCATAGTGGTGATCGTCAGGGTAGTTGGAAAGGACGAGCTTGAGTTTCTCTGCAAACTCGATGGCATCCTTAACATTACCATGCGTTAACTTGTGTTCTTCTCAGGATGACGCACCACCTGCCTCTTCACTGACGTCATCGTCTTCTAACATCTCGTCGGCAGTAACCTCAGGATCCCTTATCACCTCCATAATGTCGTCGTTGGTGGTCTCGGAGAGGCCTGCAGCTGTAACACTCTGCGCAGCTTCTCTTGCAAGGTCCACTGCCACTGCAACAGACTGAACCTCACCAGCCACAGGTTGACTCTGCCTCCCACCTGGGACACCTTGTAACACATGCCGCCATGCGTGACGAATCGTTGCCACAGACAGCTGCTCCTATGCCTCCACCAAGATATCAACAGCTTTCTTTAAGTTAAATTTCTTCCAAAACTGTTTGACGTGAACTTCTTGATCCGCCAACTCTTGTTCCTTGTCGTCGCTTTGGCTATCGCTATCGGTGTCACCCAGGTTATGCAACTCATCCTTGGTGTTGGTGGAGTCGTTCAGGAGCTTAAACTTCTTTGTAGAGAATGCAGCCTTAACGTTGCATATCAACTCCTGGTCCATGGGCTGGATTAACGACATAGTGTTGGGAGGAAGGAAGACCACTTTTACGTTGGGGTGACGATCCAACAGTAGGGGCGAGTGTCCTGGTGCGCTGTCAAGGAGCAACAGTGTTGAATGGAACATTCTGTTGCTCGCAGAATTTCTTGATGTCGGGAACGAAACAGTCGTCAAACCAGGAGAGGGACAGAGCAGTGAACATCCACGCCTTACGTGCGGTTAGCCAGTGGACATTTAGCTTGGTCATGTCCATGTTCTTGTAGGCGTGCGGCTTGCGGGCTGTGTTGATCACCAATAACTTGAGCTTACAGGTACCGGAGGCATTGGTGGTAAACAGGACCGTGATGCGCTCCTTCTGCAACTTTCGGCCCCGACACTTGCTGGGAGACTTGACAACGAAGGTCTTGAAAGGTAGCTTTTTCCAAAACAGACCGTATTCATCCATGTTGAACACCTGGTCGTCAGTGTACTGTCCTTCCTCCATAACTTCTCGCAAGAATGGAGGAAAATCCCTAGCCGCAACACAGTCAGCACTCGCTCCTTCACCACCAATGTTAATGTTGGTGATCTTGTTCCTCTTCTTAAACCCTTGCAGCCACCCAGAGGAAGCATTGATGGGTTTGGGCTCTGCAATTCCCATCTTACGTGCCACTGCTATGTGCAGTTCACGTGTGTAGTCCTGAAATGACCGTGTGTCCACCGCCATGTTAAGTTTTGCCTGACGAATCAAGTAGCTCACAAGTAAATTCTCCGTCTTGAGCAGTACCTTGTTCTGACAGTACTTCACCATTGAAGCACCTGCAGACTTTGTGATGTTCATGTGTTCTTTTATCTTGGCGGCATCCTTCTTGATCGTCCTGATCGTCGATTCGTTTACGCCATGCTTGCGCGCCAAATCAACTTGTCTCTTTCCTTTTTCTAAATCTTGTACGATCTTGTACTTAACTTAGGGAATGCCGTATCTTCTTTGGCTTAGGGCGGCTGGGTCCAGGTAATGCAAGGTTTTTCTGTGGTGGTAGGGTTCCAGTGGATGCCATTCTTACGAGATTAGCAGGCACAATAGAACACAGTTTACACGGAGTGACTGGGAGGAGAGCGAATGACGCGGCTAGGTCAGCGGATTCTTCCCTCCAGTGGCAGGGCACGTCATATTACATTAAACCAATCACAGCTAGCGGGGGAGGGAGGTAAGGATGCGTGGCCCAATCACAGTCCGATACGTCATATGACGTCACCGATAACGCAACAACGACATATTGCTTCACCTTACTCGCGCCGCTTGCCCAAGCATGGAGGGAGATTTAAATCCAAAAATGGCGCGGTGCAGCTGGACCGCCAGCTGCTCTCAGCCTTCATGGGGTAAGGACGTGTGTAGTCGGCGCTGCCCGCTAATGCGGCCGTGGTCTCTTGATCATGGAGACAGCTGCCAGCCCGGTCTGTCGGGTCTTCCCCTCCCCCATCTCCGCCTTCCCATCTGGATTTATCAACATCCTCACACCAACAGTACAGTGCAAAGATTGACGATCAACCCACAGGTGATATACAAAAGTGGCAATTTCAACTCGAAGAAAAGCACAAAAACACAGCAATACTGATTGTGGCTGGATCTGACCTAACCTGACCTGACCTCACGGCTTCACCTGACCTAACCTGAAGGATGGAGCACACCTGCATTGCCCCAAGCTACTGCCCTGGCCACGTGGCCACACACCTGCCCAACCGCATCCAGCCCATACGAGCACGAACTGATTGCTACAAGAACAGCCCAGTCCCAACCATTGTAAAAATTATCAACACCTAATTATTATATATCATATTTGTATTACTTATGTTACTTGTACATCATTTGTAAATCAAATAAACCATTCCCCGATTTTGTAATTGTATATTTTCAGCCTTCCGGCTGCCATGCTCTTTCAATAAACCGTTAATTATTATTATTATTATTATTATTATTATTATTAAATGACCAAATTTACCACGTTATTAAAGCATTTCAATTCGGGCAAGGCACCAAGTAAATGACCAAACGCGTAAACAAAAACCGTGTAATACAATGGGAAAATCCTCTCACAAATACAGTAATCAGAAACAGATTTATTAAAAATGTGACAATTTACCCTCGTCTACTTTTTTTTTTTTACAATTTCAGCCCATGTATAGCCACAATTGTGCTACAGAGGCAACAGTACCACCTCTTGCAGAATGCAAACACGACTTTATCTGCTCTTTCTTCGCTCTCACGATCCATATTGTAAACTCATTCACTCCATATAACTTAGCCACTGCAGTAGGACCCATACCATGTTCAAGTTTATCCAAAATCTCTCCGTTCTCCTTCAGACTAAGCAGCAGCTTCTTCTTACCAAGACGTTCTGGTTGGCTTCCTTTCCCACTTATAGGCCGTTTTCCGCTCCCACTGGGTTCTGTTGTGTGTCAGCCATCACGAAGTTACTCAGTAGAGGAAGAAGCGATCACTAACTCAGACAGTGTGTGTGAGTAACTACTGAATAGTGCGTTTTTTCCCAACTGAGAAAAGATACCCCGCCCCCTCCTCATGAGTTACAGCTGATTGGCTGTTTCAAACCAGTCCGATTTCGTCCTGAAGTAATGATGCATTTCTAAATGAGTTTACTGTATTCATAATCGTTGGGATGACCGTTTCTGACGAGAAAGATATTTAGCTGAATTATATAAAGATACATACAGTCAGTTCTGCTATAACGCAATAGTTGTGTTCTTGTAAAACATCGTGCTATAGAAATTCGCGTAATAGAAATAACAGGGCTTATGGAGAAAATAGGGTTAGGTGCAGATTACTCCAAATTGAAAAAATATTTCGTAGTTAGCCTAACGCAAAGGATAGCACAGTCTAAACAAATGTTACATTCATATCTAATA